TTGGTAACATATAAATTTGGGGGGACATAGATATTCATTCAGACCATAGCAAAGAGAAAAGGGTGTTAATTTTGGTGGAGTCTAATATGTTGATTTTCCCCTTTATTGCTTGTACTATTGTGTGTCCTATTTAAGAATGTTTGCTAAATCCAAAGCAACTAAGAATTTCTCCTATATTTTCTTCGATACATTTTTAAAGTTTTAGCTCTTAAATGTTGATGTATGATCCATTTTGAGTTAATTTTACATACGATGTGAGGTACGGATCTGATTTCATTTTTTAAGTGTGGTTCTCTAGTTGTGGCATTTTGAATAGTTTTGTATCATCCATTAGTACTTGTACTAGGATGAACTTGCTATCTCTGTTGTGCCATTGACTAATTGTGTGAACTTTGACAAGTCGCTTTGACTTTCTGAATCTCAATTTAAAAATCTGTAAAATAGGGATTATAGCTATTGGCTCTATTTATCTGACAGAGTCATTACAAAGATCAAGTTGAGATAAGTAGTATCATTTACGATTTTTTTCTCTGAAGGGTTGGAAACTTGGGAGTCAACTCCTCCTTTCCCATCACCCCCACACTCAGGCAACTCTTAAGAGATGTCTTGGATCTTTTGTCTCCTCACTGCTTCTACTCCCACTGTCCTGGTTCAGAGCAGACTCTTCTCTCACCTAGACTGTTGCAAAATCCTACTAACTTATTTGCTGCTTCCAGGGTCTTGTTGTCTTCAGACCTAACCTCTCTGCTGACCCCAGGGTGATCCATCAAACTTTATTGGTCATGTTCTCTTCAGCTTACCCTGTATCACCTGCAGGGTCAAGTCCAAGCTCTAGATCTTGTGTCCAGGCCATTCATGCTCTAGCTCTGCCTCACCTCCAGCCTTATCTCACACTGCTGTCAGCATGGCACTTTACCTGCCAAAGCACACTCCCTCCACAATCCCTGAGCATGCCTGCATGCACACACACACACACACACACACACACACACACGCATGCATGCACAAGCACACACTCGTGCCATTATTCACCTCTATCAATCTTGACTCCAACTATGAGATTTGCTACTTCTCTGTGTTCCCAATGTTCTATGGGCCTTCCTTCATGCTCACAGCACCACGTTGCCTTTACCACATTGCACTATAAGTGCATAGTTGGGTCTCTCACAATAGAATGTAAGTGGCTCAAGAGGAGGACTATTGTTTTATACATTTTTAATTCTTGACATCCAGCATAGAGTCCTGCTCAGAGTACAACCAAGAGTTGTTTGAAGATCTAAACATGAGACCAGGAAAGGAATGACTATTATTATTAAGAATTATAGCAGTTTGGTGCAGAAATGGCTTAGAAATCATTTAGTGGTGTGGTTATGGAACTCCCCTTGCTCTTTGAAATATACACCGAAATATTTAGGAGAAACTGGCATGACATGCACAACCTACTCTCAAATAGTTCAAAAATAATCAAAGTTAATCATAAAGCACATGTGACAAAATGTTAAAAATGGATGATTGTTTGTAAAAGATACCCAGGAGTCCACTGTACTGTTCTTGCAAGCCTTTCTGTCAGTTTGAAAGTATTTTAAAACAGAATCCGGCCAGGCATGGTGGCTCACACCTGTAATCCCAGAACTTTGGGAGGCCAAGGTGGATGGATTGCTTAAGCCAGGAGTTTGAGACCAGCCTGGACAACATGGAAAAAAACCATCTCTACAAAAAATACAAGAATTAGCCCGATATGATGGTGTGTGCCTATGGTCCCAGCTACTCAGGAGGCTGAGGTGGGAGGATCACCTGAGCCCAGAAGGTTGAGGCTTCAGTGAGACATGATCACACCACCACACTCCAGCCTGGGTGACAGAGTGAGACCTTGTCTCAACAAAATACAAAAAACACATAAATAAAAATAAAATTATTTTAAAAATTGCCTTTGGATTCATTAAATAAATGACGCTCTGCCCATACAAGGGCATATTCGGCAGTCATGGTAAGAAATATGTTTACTGGTATGGAAATGAATTCATGATATGTAATTGACTGAAGAAAGCAAGTTTCAGTATGATCTCGGTTTCATTAGAACAAAACAAAAATCTCCTGTCCTAAAAAAGTCTGGAAAGAGGTACACCAAAATGTTAATTCTGGTTATTTCTGACTTATGGAAAAGGTGACTTAAATTTTCTTCTTTTTACCTATACTTTCTACTTTTCTACAGTGTGCATGCATTAATTATGTAATAAAAGTTAATTATTTAAAAAACATGAAGAAACAAATGACAAACAAGCTTTAAAGCCACCCAAATGCTTGGACTGATGTTGGGATCCTCTTAGCTGGGGTACTTGACTTATTTAGTAACCTCTTTCTGGGGCAGAGATCCAAGTTCTTTCAACTTCCCAAATCACACTGTGGTGATTTCAAGAAAGAAAAACTCTTCATGCTCCATCCTCTGTCTCCTCCAATTTTGCCTTCTTCAGAGAGTTATTTCTAGCATATTTGGTATTCTAAATTGTTCTCCAGGGATTTTAAGTATTTTCTGACACTGGTGATTTGAAAGACAGTTTTACATTGCTGCTGCGCACATTCTCTTGGACTTGTCCATAACTAATTGCAAGATGCTGGACTTTGGGGACTTCACTGAGTTCTGTGGGTGTGGGAAGCATCACCACACTCTTCTGAGCTTCTGTTCTCATGGATTCACAACAGGTGCCCAGGAATGATTACTGTATCCCTAACCTGCTTAATTTTGAGGCTTGAAATATCCAGTAATCATTTTTCAGAGATGCTTTCTTAGAAATCTGTTGCTGAGAGGGCAACTCTAGCAAAGGCAAAAAGCACAACAGTTGTGATATCATTAGTGTATAGATTCAATTTTTATCTAATCTAGTCTCTCTTTCAGAGCCATCTTTAATGGTTGATTCCACTTCTTGATGTCTGAAAAAGCAGATCATTATCTACCACATTTACCCTTTAAGACTGTATTTTCCTGTTAATTGAGCATAATGTCACGGTCTTCTTATTTTTACTCAAAATGTTTTAATGAATTTGTTTCACATCCATCATTTTTTTGTCTTGAATTTTTCATTAGCTCCTTTAACATTCAATTTCTGAACACAGATTTAGAATTCTTTGCTTGTTATATATTGTGCCTCTTGAGACATGTTGGATTTTCTTGTCATTTTGACACTGATTTACCAGAATGAACTTCCTGTGAGAACACTGTGGCAAAGAAATTGTTCTTTCTGACAGTAGATGATTTTCATTATTTTTATTTTCCTCACTTTGGGAGCCCAATGCATGCACACTGAAATGTGAAGTAGCAGTGATCTGCAGCCAAGTGGGTCTAGCCCTTTTCCTAATGTGAACTCTTGCCAACTCGTTATATTAGCTTCTCAGATTTAGAGCTAGGTAACTTGGTTTGGAAATATTTTTAATATCAGCATATTGCCAAGTGGCAAGATAAACATAGCATGGGGTAAAGGCTTATTTTGATATTTGTTCAGCCTCACATCTTGCTAGAGTTGAGTTCTGAGAAATTTTTCTTATTGCCTATATCATTTGTCCTTTAAAATAAAGCCAAATATACTAAAAAGCAGCATAAAGCTAAACAAAGGAAAAACACAGCATTCTCCAGGTCATGGCTCTTCAAACTATGAGATTGTCAGAAAACATCCCTTCCCATTTTTGTCTTAATGGCCTCCAAAATTTTTGGAAGCAAAACAGTTTATATGTTTCAAATAAATTTATTTATCTATGGGATCATCTCCTCTAGGTTTGGAAGTACTTGAGAAACCTAGACTTAAATTATACTCAAATAGAAAATGGGACAAGTTCACAGGTATAGCCATGCAGAATAATAGGCAACTGAGGCAGAAATCTACTTAGGGAGTGTGGTGTTTCTTTATAGTGAAGAACTCTAAGTTTCATCAATAACCTCAAAGCCTGGAAGGAGTTGGTGGAGGCACCTGGTTTTGCTGGAGGTGCCATTGCTACCAAATACTGACCTTGGTGAGCGCTGGAAACCAGTGAGCCCAGGAAAGGTCCAAATATCTGTCCTTTAAGCCCTTCCCTGAATATCTCTGGAAGCCACAACTTTCATTTCCACTGTGGCCACTCAGCCCAGTTCTTAATATCTCAATAGTCTCCTAACTGGTGTCTCTGCCCCTACACTTGACTTCACTAATTCATTTCCTAGAGTGCTGATCTTGAAATAAAAAGATGGTCATGCCACTCCCTCCCCACAACAGAATAGCTTCCCATTCTCTTGGGGTAAAATCCAGTTCCTATGTGATGTGGCCCAGCCACCCACTCCTGCCTCATCTGCTACCTTGCTCCCTTCCAGTCCTGTGGTCCAGCCACAGGGCCTCACTGGTTTTGGTTTCTCAGAAGCTCTTTGCTCCCACCTGCCTCTGTCTAGCTTAGGCTCTTTTGTTATTGCATTTCATACAACCATATACAGTTGTCCCTTACTTTCAGCAGGGGGTTGTTTCCAGGATGCCCTGCAGATACCAAAATCCAAGGACGCTCAAGTGCCTGATATAAAATGCCATAGTATTTGCATATAACCTGTGCAGATCCTCGTGTATATTTTAAATCATCCCTAGGTTACTTGTTGTACCTAATATAATGTAAATGCTGTGTAAATAATTATACTGTTTTTTAAAATTTGTATTATTTTAATTTTTTTTCTTCTATTTTTTTTCCTGGATATTTTCTATTTGAAGTGGGTTGAATCTGAAGAAGCAGAACTGGCAGATACGGAGAGCCAAATGTATATAAACTTCCTACAGAACACTCACATTTAATTTGTGATGATGTATTCAATATCGTCTTTCTTTGATTAGTGTAGGGTCAAGAGAAGAGAACCTTTTATCATGTTGGTATCACCAGCACCAAACCCAAGGATAATGTTAATGTATTAGTCCATTTTGCATTGCTCTAAAGTAATACCTGAGACTGGGTAATTTTTTAAATAAAAGAGGTTTATTTGGCTCATGGTTTTGCAGGCTGTACAAGAAGCATGGTGCCAGCATCTCCTTCTGGTGAGGATCTCAGGAAACTTTCATTCATGGTGGAAGGTGAAGAGGAAGCAGGCATCACATGGCAAGAGAGGAAGCAAGAAGAGGAGAGCAAGAGGTGCCAGTCTCCTTGAACAACCAGCTTTCGTGTGAACTAATAGACTGAGAACTCATTCATTACTGTGGGAAATTCATGAGGGATCTGCCTCATGACCCAGACACTTCCCACTAAGCCCAATCTCCAACTGTCAGGGTTCCATTTCAGCATGGTATTTGGAGGGGACAAACGTCCAAACTACATCAGTTAAATTGGTAAAACTTAAGCCGAAGTCTAGATTGATTTACCAGTTTCTGTTGAGGAGTTGAGGAGATCTTAGCTTCACAAATTGATTATGCTTGAATCATTGCCACCAAGAGACCAAGCAAGACTTCTGTTGTACCTCTTGAGCAAATTCCTGCTATGATAATGCAGTAAAAATTAGTTACGTTCTATAATGTTTACTATGCAAATTTCATTGACTTAATATTCCTCTGGCTCAATGGCTGAATGGGTCCCCTCTCCCCTTTGAAGCATCCCTCAGCTTTTCCTGGAGGTTTCTGAAGTGTAACAGTTGCCACCCCCATCTCTCTGGCTCTTTCCCTCTTGCCCGCTCCCTGGTTTTGATGTCCGTGACACTGGACACCACCTGAAGGAACAACACAGTGGCCTTCATTGACAATCACCACTATCCACACCCTAGCTGGTTACCAGGGTCCTGATGCAAGCAGTCTTCTTAAGTAAGGGAAAAGTCTGGCCCAAAGGTAAATGTAAGTCTCCACCCATAGAGACCAAAATCATTCGCAAATTTTGAAAAAAAAGCAAACAACAATTACCCCAAAAATCTTTAGGGTCCAGAAATTAGCCAGGACATAAAAAATATGCATTGTCTTATTTAATTGCCACAAAATCCGATCAAGACTGTGTTATTATTTCCATTTTTAAAGATGAGAAAAACTGGCTGAGCACGGTGGCTCAAGCCTGTAATCCTAGCACTTTGGGAGCCTGAGGCAGGTGGATCACCTGAGGTCAGGAGTTCGAGACCAGCCAGGCCAATGTAGTGAAACCTTGTCTCTACTAAAAATACAAAGATTAGCCAGGCATGGTGGTGGGTGTCTGTAATCCAGCTACTTGGGAGGCTCAGGCAGAAGAATCACTTGAACCCAAGGGGTGGAGGTTAGAGTGAGCTGAGATCATGCCACTCTACTCCAGCCTGGGCAAAAGAGCAAAACTCCATCTCAAAAAAAAAAAACAAAAGAAAGAAAGAAAAACTGAGGCTCTGGGACATTGAGTGACTTGTTGAGATCACACAGCAGTAGGGCCATGAATCAAATTCAGATCTAATGACCTTAAGCTTTTAGCCAGTATTCTGTACTGCATGATAAGAGTAATATAAATGACTGATATGTCATTTATTTCTATTAGTCTTCCTGGGCCCTATATACCTGAATAATTCTGTAATGACAATATTAAAATAAGCTTGATTGAAGATAAACTATTTTCATAAAGACACACAGAGTACATTCTTAAGTGCTAGTTTCATCTTAATCTTTTAACTTTATACATGTTTCCATTTAAGGTATATTCTATTTCTTTTAATTTTTTGTCTTTAAAGAACTTTTTTTAGAGACAGTGTCTCACTGTGTCATCCAGGCTTGAGTGCAGTGACACAGTCACGACTCACTGCAGCCTTGAACTCCTGGGCTCAAGTGAGCCTCCCACCTCAGCCTCTCAAAGCGCTGGGATTACAGGCATAAGCCACCACACCCAGCCTCTATTTCTTAATGTGGGTATTTCTCCTTGTAACCACATAATCTTCTACCACCACACAGTCAGAGGCTTCTTTGTGTGGGGTCCCAAGGCCTGAATTGCCCTTCAGCTGCCCGTGCGAAACTTCTTGAGGACTCAGCAGAGTCTCAGGTTCATGCTGCCAAGCCTGTGTTTATTCTGATGTGAGGGAAGTGTGGGAGTGGACTTCCTGCCAGAATCCTGCCCTGATATTCCAGGTAACTGACCACAAGCCACGGCCCATTCTATGCTATTTACAGTGAGTGACAAAAATAGGCTCACCCCTCTGAAAGGCATACCTGTGCCATCTGCCCACTGGCCTCCTACAACCTGACAGGCGCTTTCTCTCCCGACCTCAGGAGGAGGCAAGACTGTGTCCTCACACAGACCCAGGAGCACTGGGTCCCTCAGGTGCATGCCTTCTGCTCCAGAAGGACCCAGGGCTTCAGAAGACACCAAAGCCGGGCTTCAGCACAGGGGTCCAGGCAGAACCTAGTTATGGATGCAAGGAAAGAGGCAGGAACTTGGGGAAAGGGGAGAAGATAAGACCAAACCCCATTGTTGGAGCTAGATACAAAGTCAGGCTGGGATCATGGGCACTGCTGGTCTGATTCTGAGCCATCGCTGCCTCGGAGATTCATTGTTCCTCAAGTTTGGGCTGGGGCTGATTCTGGGGGTGGGGAGGTTAATGAACCCAGCTGAAGGGGCTGGAGGGAAGTCCAGAGCATAGACTTCACTTGTCTTTCTCTCTTTCTCTTTCTTTTTTTTCTCTCTCTTCTTTTGTTCCCTTGGGACGTGAGCCAACGCAAAACCCCCACCAAAAGACAAAAGCTGCAATGAGAGGCATATTGTACAGACACGACCCGTCCTACTTCAGCACTGAGATTAATATATGTTTAGTAAATTTGCATAATTTGTTCAGATTTCTCTTATTCTCTGAAGAAATAACAAGCTATAGACATAAGGTAAAGCTTCCATCACCCTCCAATCCTTTCTCCACTTCCACGTCCTA